CCTTCCTTCTTTCCTTCCTTCCTCTTTACCTTCTTTCCTCCCTCTTTCCCTTTCTTCTTTCCTCCTTCTCTCCCTTCCTTCCATTCATCCCTTCCATTGTTTTTTCTTTCTTTGTTCCTTCCTTTCTTTTCTTCCTTCCTTTTCCTTCTTTCCTCCTTCCCTTCCTTCACTTATTCTTTCCTTCCTTTCTTCTTTCCTTCCTTCCTTTTCCTTCTTTCCTCCCTACCTCCCTTCCTTTCTTCCCTTCCTTTGTTTTTTTTTTCCACTACCTGGGAGAACACCTGGCATTTTCAGAAGTGGACATCAGCAAATTACTAACAGAAATGTAGAACCACTGATTTCGGATATTGTTTTGAGGGGTGGGTGTTAAAAATAGCAAATTATTTGGAAACTCAGTTTTTTGTAAAGGTAAGATACACATTCCCCAAAGTCTAGCAAGTCCAGTCCTGGATATTTAACCAAAATAAATAAAGACATATATTCACAAAAGAACTTGTATAAGAATGTTCACAAAACATTCATACATAGGAATGCTCCAGAACATTCAAGTATAAGAATGTTTGCGATGCAATATTTAAGTCTGTGTGTCTGACTTATTTTACTTAATATTATGGTCTCACGTTGTATCCATTTACCTACAGTGCCTCAAGTTTATCTTTCTTTGTGACAGAGTAGTATTCCATTGTGTGTAAATGTCACACTTCTTTTTAATCCATTCATCTGCTGACAGGCATATAGGCTGTTTCCAAGATTTAGCTATTATTATAAAAGTTATTTATAGCCCCAAGCTGAGAACAAACTAAGGATCTATGAACAAGCTGTTCCAGCTCCAGCTGCGGGGACTGTGGCTCCAGCTCCAGCTGCGGCTGTGTGCCCGTGTGCTGCTGCAAGCTAATGTGCTGCTGTGTGCCAGCCTGTCCCTGCTCCAGCTGTGGCTCCTGTGGGGGCTCCAAGGGTGCTTGTAGTTCCTGTGAATGCTCCAAGGGAGACTGTGGTTCCTGTGGGGGATGCAAAGGGGGCTGTGGCTCCTGTAGGTGCTCCAAAGGGGGCTGTGGCTCCTGAGGGGGCTGCAAGTCTAGTTGCTGCCAGTCCAGCTGCTGCAAGCCCTGCTGCTGCGAGGCCAGCTGCTATGTCCCAATCTGCTGCCAGTGCAAGATCTGGAGCTGTGGGTACAGATCTGTTTGGTCCTACAAATCTAGCTCTCCAGAAATGACTGGAGCTGTGTCCTGAACTTCTGAAGAACCACTCTGGGTCTATCCTACCAGACCTGCAGCAGCCTCTGTCCAGAAGTGAGGTCATGAGGCTTCCCACATCCTGTATCCTGCCCACCATTCCTCCTGAGTTCTCCTCTTTCTTTTCTTATTTCACCTCCCCACCTTCTCAGGGCCAGAGATGCCATATCCCATGGTGGGAGAAGCCTGAGCCTGGATGCCTCCAGCAGGGCTCCTGGCTACTCTTCCCTTCTGCACCTGGCTCCTGCATCCCTTCATCTTCATGTCACTGTGAGCTGCCTGAGCACAGGTTGCTTTTGGAGTTTATCTAGAGGACACAATGGTTTTGCAGACCCCAGGTCCCACTGCTGAGGGGGAGGAATTTCTGAACTCTTGCTTCTTTCTTGAACACAACCAACTTCCTTTGCCTGCCTGCTCCTATTCACCCTTCGTTATTCATCCTGAATCCACTGAATAAACAATCCACACCTCCCAAGAGTTCATATGGTGGGTCTTTGTTTTCAGCCCCTGTATTATTAGAAAAATGTTCAACTTTTGCATAGCTATATCCCATGCCTTACTCCCCTCTATGTTCCTTAGCTGGGGCCCATCACAAAATAATGAATCTCATGGTTTAAACAAACAGATCATTTACAGTTCGGGAGGCCAGAAGTCCAAGATCAGGGTGTCTCTCCTTGGCTTATAGATTCTGTCTTCTCCCTGTGTTCTCACCTAGTCATCCCTCTGTGCCTTGATTTCTTCATACAAGGACACCAGCCTGTGGGATCAGGGCCCCCTTCTCCAGTGTGTCCGCATCTTAACTTATTATCCCTGTGAAGATCCTGTCTCCACATGAAGTCACGGACTGAGATGTTTTGTGGCAGGGCTGTGGCTCATCCTCCAGAAATATCTACCTGGGCATAAGGAATCACATCTTGTCTCCCAGATATAGCGGTTGGGAGGCATCACAGGGTTCTCTTCCTCCTCAGTCACCAAATCCTAGTTTCCCAAAAGGTGTTTTTAAAAAGTGATTTTTTGCAAATTCTGTGAACTGATGAAAAAGTATTGACTCCTTAGAAACAACTGCCAAGGTAGTGCCAAACAGAAAGGAGAGGAGACAGAGGTAGCTTTCCCAGTGGAGCAGAAATAGACCTTACTCGTTACTGAGAGTCAGGAAACCCTGAAATCAGCCTCCTGTCTATGTGGTGAAATGAATCATTGTGAGCTGGCCTCTCAAGTATTTGCAGCTGAATCTGTACCCCCCCTCCCAGGTGGCCTCAGAAACTTAAATATGACATGCCCAGGGTGCAAGTCCCAGATAAATATACAGGGAAACCAAATCTGTAAAGAAATCCACCCTCCTTTTAATGTAAATCAGGTTCCCAGAGATGAAATTCCAAGAACATGAGTTCACATTCACAAATCATAAAATCCATACACATACAGAGTCATGGCAAGAGACCCAACAAAAATCTATGGAGAGAAGAATCAGTTCATAAAAAGGCTCTGGTTATTAAAATTATAAGGCACAGAATGCAAAATACAGTATGCACTTGTGAAATGGCTAAAGAAATAGAAGATCAATTGATATTATGAATAAGAAGTAGTAAAATAAAAATATAAGCATCTTTGAACAAATATTAGGTATGTTTAGGCTGGGTAATGAGAGAATGAATGAATTAGAAAACAGATACTAATAAATTACCTATCATTCAATATTCAAACACAGAAAAATGGATGTAAATGAAGTAGCTGTAAAAAGTCACAGATAATAGAGTAAGAAAATCATGTTAAGTGAAATAAATCAGACATATAAGCTTAAATATCACATGGTTTCTCTTATACGAGAAACCCAAAGTATAAGCAAAGAGCAAAATAAAAGATAGCTGATTGGGCCGGGGATTTAGCTGAGTGGTTTTGCTGCCTGCTGCGCATGTCCAAGGACCCAAGTCCCATCCCCAGTACCAAAAAAAAAAAAGGAGCTGATAGGAAGGAGGGAGCTAGATCTTTCTCAAATAGGAAGGGGACCAAGAGATGGGAGAAGGAAAGGGGGGGGGTGAAAGAAGGAATGAAGATGTGTTATATATGTGTACCAAATCTACACAAGGAATGTAAACATCATGTGCCACAAACACATACTAATAAAAAATGAGAAATCTTTACACATTTGTTCTCACATGCAGTTTAATGTAATAGAATTATACCACCACAAACAGTAAAAACCTTAAAAATAAAGTTTACCCACCCACATGAGAAAGAAAGAAAGAAAGAAAGAAAGAAAGAAAGAAAGAAAGAAAGAAAGAAAATCTAACACACAGTATCTAGACTCCCAGGGTTAATGTGGGGAAATTTTCCAGAATTCGTGAAAATGCCAATTCTTTGATTAATGAGTCCTGAACAGAATAAATACAAAAAAAGTCACCTTAGATTCAGCATAATAACACAAAGAAAATCATCTACTCAGTGAATATTGGCCAGGCATCGAGGATTTAGCAGTGAATAAAACCAGTAAAATTCTTACCCTCATGGAGCTGACATTCTATGGGAGAGACAGACAATAAATAAAATGGATAACTAAATCACAGAGATCTTCAAAGGAAGAAAATAAAATAGGGGAACGGGAGGGAAAGGGGCCAACGGGAGGCTGGTTTGTCTTGAATAGAGGGTGAATGGGCCTCACTGAGAGGGTGCAGCTATGCAGCGAACACACCCTGGGGCAGCCTCTGCCAGCCAGTACAACAGTCGTGCTGTGGGGATGCCAGGGGTGCATAAGAATTCAGCAAATTCTTCCTCTGATGGAAGATTTTAGGACCTCCTTCCCAGTTATTGTTGGACCCAATAGACAACAAGCTCAACAAAGTCCCAGGAAGTCTGAATCACACAATAAGTAAGTCAGATGCACTGGGCTTAGATAGATTCTGGCACTTAGCTGTTGAGGAATAGACATTTCCAAGCCTGTGTGGGATATGTGTGTTATTTTCCATTCACAAAGCTAATGTCAGTGAATTCAGAAGGAAAATATTCAGGTTATAGCCCCTAGCTGCTCCATAATCTTTGAAAAATCAATAAAAATAGATAATTGAAAAGGTCCACATATATGGCAGTTTAACAACACCCTGGTCAATAATGCATAGATAAAAAAGGAGCAATTAAATGATATTTAGAAAAGATTTTATATCAAAGCCAGTGAGACACAGTGTATGAGATGTGATCAGAAAATGCAGTGAATGTTTAAATCTTAAAATACTTGTTACGGTAAAAGTGACCACTGCCATTAGTCACTCTAAATACACCCTTCACTTTAAACACACTTGTCTCACCATTCTTGCCACTTTCTGAAGCAGTTCTGGAAGTCTTCCTTCATGAATATCTTTAGTTGCACTGTCATGGCTGCCTCCATGTCCTGAATCAATTTAAAACATTTACCTTTCATAGTCATTTTGACTTTGAGAAAGACCCAGAAGTTATACGTGCCAGACTCACTGAACAGATGGATAAGGACACGTGGTAATACTTTTACCACCTGTCTTTCTGTTGGTGGCATTCAGCAGCAGCATTCATCATATTTTTGATCATACCTTATAAAGACACTCACGGAAGAGGACTTTAAAAAGTGCTCAGAAAATGGCAAGAATGATGGGATAAGTGTATTTAAAGGAAAGGGGAGCGGGCAAGGGATTTAGCTCAGTGGCACTGTGCCTGCCTGGCAAGTTCAAGGTCCTGAGTTCAAGTCCCAGTACTGGAAAAAAAAATAAGTAAAAGGGAGAATTTTGAGTATGATTAATGGCAATGTATCTTTTACTACGGCAATTTCATTTATTTAAACATTCACAATATATTTTTATCATCCTATGCACAATGAAAGGTAACGATGTGCCCTTGGAGTTCAAGTCACTTGGGAGGCTGAGGCAGGAAGGTCACTTGGGCCCAAGAGCTGCAAGCAGCAAGTGGAGATCTGTGGTGATAATAACCAAGCACATGCAAATCACCCTCCAAGAATGCAGAAAGTAGAAAAACTTGGGGAATTATAAAAGGGTGTGCATTTGCAAACAACCAAGGAAATTAAAATTTAAATTGAAATGATACAACATTTTCACCAATCAGAAAGTTAAAACTTTTTAGCACCAAATGCCCCATGTGTCCATGTGGGAACTCATGTATCAGTGACCCACATACCAGTGAGGTTCTGTGTACATCTGCCTGATGAACCTATAGAAATTATGTTGCAGGGCCAGCAGCATGGTATGTGGCTGGTGAAAGCACACGTGTCCCATGCTTGGAAGAGGGTCTCTGAATGTAGGTGTTAACTATCTGGGCTTGCTGTATGCAAATTCTTACTCAACTGGGATCTTTGTCTTACAGGTAAGGTCTGATGTGAACTGTGGCATGTGCCTGGAGGCTTGGGACCCGGATGCACGCACATTTTGGTGTTCCAGTGCCTCACAGCAAGTCTGGACATTAACTTGCTTTTTCAAAAAAAAAATTACAAATAGGGATTTCATTCCAAGTTCTCATGTTTTAGTGCCAATTATGTGCCACCCATGGTGGATACACTGTGAAAAAAATATACAGTCTTTTTCCTCTGCTACAATTACATGCACCTGAAAAACACCATTAGTTAACTCTATGTACGTATTTAAAGTACATTTTAGAAGAAGCAAAGAACATAAACTGAAGGCACCCATGGTCTTATGAGGCGAGTTTGAGTAATATGGTATGTATGTAAATTTAATTAAACCGCCTTGAGATATTCCCCCTCACCTTGACCCTACTTATCCCATCATTCTTATCACTTACTGAAGCAGTTCCGGAAGTCTTCTTTTGTGGGTACATTTGGTTTCTCTATCGCGGCTGTCTGGATCTCATGAATGGATTAAAAACTGGGATGGTGTCAGATCTGGTGAATAAGGTAGATCAGCACACACCATGTTTTCCCAAGTCTGCTTTTCCATTGGATGGGACTCAGCAGCAACATCTGTTGTACTCTTTACCACACCTCATAAAGACATGAAAGGGGATGTCCAGCACCAGTTCTGAAAGTGGCAAGGATGATGAGATAAGTGTGTTCAATCAAGGGGAAGTATTTCGAGGACCATCAATGGCAATGTATGTTTTACTGTAACATATATTTTATTTACACATTTGCCTTTAAAAAAATCATGCTGTGTATTCTAAAACATGCCACAAAATCCACAGTAAATGAAATAATTAATGCTGAAACTGTCAGATCACCTGAACAACCCAAGTTGTCTATGATCAACAGCAAACCCTGCAGCACAGGAGTTCACAATTAAAATGGAAAGATGAACAAATGCCAGGTTTCAAATGAGAGTTCCCTTGCTATCCAAGCTACACTGAAGAGCCTCAACAGATAACAGAAAACAGAAAACAAAACCTGCTCCTGTGATTTTCACTCATGATGTTATGGGGGCACAGTCTGTAAGACAGACAGCAGTAGACTTCAGCGAGGGTGTCATGCATTCCTCAGTGCATTTTAGGGGTACTGTTAAATTTTATTGCTGATGTGTTCAATAGACTACTTCAGGAGGATGATAATGTGAACTTCCTGTTTGAAGCAGAGATTGCAGATCTACTCTTCCCTCTTCTCCACTGAAAACAACTACAAATGCTTGAAATGACACAAGAAACACCCAATGAACAACTCTGCAATGCGTAAGAATAAACGCAGTAGCTTGGTGTCTCAGCCCCTACTCAACAGAAAACCACAACACAACTGGCAGGTCCCCCAACTGGTAACATTAAGCAGTCAGGCTGAGCGTTCCTCTGAGAATGGATCTTGATCCCTCTGAGAGCACAAATATAGCCCCATGCCCACCATGATCTCAGGGCACTATGGTAGAGCTATAGCTCTGGGGACAGTTAGCACCAGCCTCTTCCCTGCTACGCTGCCTAAAGATGCTGCTCCCCAACTTAAGGTGCCCAGGGAGCCAGGCAGATCCGACAAGAAGGAAACTGGCACAAACCCATGATCCATTCCAGGATGAGATAGGTACAAAATCACAGGTGTAACAGCTCACCCTTCCCGCATCCTGGTCTTCAGGGGAAGACTTCTTGCACCAGATGGTGACAAGGTCCAAATCCTGCACAGGACTCACCAGGCCTGAGATATGGGGGACAGATGGAGAAATTCATGGACGCGGGGATTTTCTCCCCTCTGAGGTGAACTCATTCTGCAAACACCATCAGCGAAGCCTTTCCTGGTGTCCCTCAGTGCTCCTCACTTCCTTCTTTTGGGATTCAGTGCTGGTTCTCTGAATGGAAAACCTTTTGAGAAAAGCAAAACAAAACAAAGATCAGAAGTCAGACACCCAAGATCCATTATACTAGACTCCAGAAGAAAAATGAGGGAATGGGGTGGGCATTAGAATATTTAGATCCTCTATTCAAATGAGGCATGGAAAAGACTTCTGAATCTGGAAACAGCTAGCCAAACTCTGACTGTATAATACTTAGTGGGCATTAACCAATCAGAAAATAAAGCATTGAAACCCAAATTGTGGCCCAGGCCTGTAATCCCAGCACTCCAGGAGTCGAGGCATGGGTTCCAGTGCCCAGGCTGCCACCAGGAATTTGAGGGCCCAGCAGCCTGGGGTGGTAGCCTAGCACAGGGCACCCTGCTCCACTCCATGGGGAAGGTGTCACCTGACGGTTCCTGGTGCTTCAGCCCCTAGAGCACACAGGCTCGTGGCTTTCAGCCTGGCTGGGGTCCCAGGACCCAGTGGCAGCAGTGACCTGTAGGGGTACAAGGCAGCAGAGAAGAGGTCTGAAATGTGGGCACCTGAGTAGACAAACTGACCACTGACACAGTTCATGCAGCACAGCTGCCAGGCGGAGTCTAGAAGTGCAGGTGGAGAGCATGTGCTGGGAGGCTGGGAGGTACTGGCTGCCATGGGCAAGCAGCCCAGCTTCTTGGGCAGCATGCAGGGAGGGGTCATAGACGTGGCCTGATCCCTTTGCCCTTCCACTGCCCTTGGCACCCTGTATAAATACACACAACATATAATGCAAAGAAAGGTAAATGGTTTTATTGCAATGATTATTGAGAAGTGATTATTTCAAATTTTTATTTGCTTAAAAATTACAATCTGTGCATGTAGGGGGATATAATTTCAGGAATTTCATCATGCTATTCTGAGGATTTTTAAGAGGAGCTTGAACCCCAGGAAGGCTTCAACCATGTTTCTGGGCCTCTTAATACACACATTATCATTGTGTGTAATATTGTTTTCATTTTGTGTAATACTAATTTATAAAACATATTACATTGCAAATGCACCTAAACCACTTAACGTTTTGATAGTGAACAATTCAGAAATAAATGGGTAGTAAATTTATACTAATCATTTTATTTTGTTTTGTTTTTTGGTACTGGGGATCGAACTCAGGACCCTGAGCTTGCGAGGCAGCCGGCGGCACCACTGAGCTAAATCCCCGGCCCTATACTAATCATTTTGAATTGACATTAAGTTGCAATAATATTGAGGATGAGAATAACATTGCGCCAAATTATGTCTTCTGTCCTATTAAACTTTGTGTTTGTAGTCCCCAGGGACAACAGTTAATACCAGATGAAAACTTATCACTTTCCTCATGGCGGTTCTTTATTCACTGAGAAAATGAAAAAATTCATTGAATTTTGTTTTTCTTTTTTGTACTGGGGATGGAACTCAGGACCTTGCTCTTGTGAGGCAGGCGGCAGAACCACTGAGCAAAATCCCCAACCTGAGACATATATATGTATGTATGTATTGGAAGCTGTGTGAACTTCCAATCACCTGACCAAGGGCATGGCAGCAGGATAGCAAAAGACAAGACAAGATCTTTACTGCATAAACAGGGCCCCAGGATAGTCAAAGCTCTTATCAGGCTAAGATGCTATCTCCTGAAGTTTTCCACTATTTAATGAACACAGTTTCTTGAACAGGTAAGGGGCGGTTCAGAGAACAGTGGAAAGGAGAGCAATGACGTAAGCGAGGTCCTAACAACAAGGAAACAAGACCTTCTAGCAGGAACAGATTATTGATTAATGGGAATTTTTTCCCATAGATTAATTTCTCCTTCTATAAAAATTTTGTATATGAGTCATGTTGCTCATAGCTGCACTATTGTCCTGCCATCTAAGACATCACAGTGTCACAGATCATTGAGACCGCTGTAACCAGTGGTATGGACAGTTGTTTCATTCCCACACACCAACTGCTGGCTCTTCAGACAAGGTACTGTGGGCAAATGGGCAGACTCAGACTTTTAATATGCAAAGCCAATTTATGAATTTGTAGCTCACTTAGTGTGGTCTTCATCATATAAAGATGTGTATCTTTTTCTTCCTGACAACCAAAACCCTCAAAGATACATATAATACCAAAAAAATGCCCCTTACTAATCCAATCTATACTGCTCATCTCTTTTCAATTTCAATTTTGGAAACTATGTATGTAATTTTTTGAAGCCCTGTGTTGTTCAAACTCTAAACAAAGTTTATTAACTCTCACATTAGAAAGAAAATTTTAATTACTTTATACCTGTGTACAATCTACATATAAAGCAAATATCACACAGAAAGGGGATTTAGGGATGGAGGGAGAGGGAAAGGAGGGAAAGGGGAAGTAAAAAGGATTAAGATTCCCTATGTGTATGCACCAACTTCCTAAAAATGAATGTATTCATTATGTGTCTCAAATGGGTACTACTAAAAAATTAAATAAATATACTATAGAAACAACTGAAACACTGAACAAAGAAAAATAAAATATTCTCTTTATGTTGTACCATGAAGGGTGTGTGTGTGTGTGTGTGTGTTTTCATATTACTTGTATTTGTTGTGGTTGAACGTCCTGGATCTGTGGGCTTACAGTTTTTATCAAAAGTGAAAAGCATTCCTCTATCAGATTTTTCAATTTGTTTTCTATCCACCCACTCTCTTTCATCCTTTGGGGACTCCAGCTATACACAGATGTGACCAGGCAAGTCCACTCTGAGGAGGGGACATTCAAGCTCATGTGCTTTTAAAACAAGGCACCCAAATTCTTTCATATATACATACCCATCAAAAGGTGGAGACTATGGCTTCATCCCTTGAAGATGAGCTAATTGCGGAAGAAACAGAATCAAACTGATGGGGTGCTGACCAGTTCCCAGGCTCTAGGAAGATGCATAGGTATCTGTCCACTATAATGTAAGAGAACCCAAGCACCACATGGCAAACAGTCACCCTCTCATGTTGCCACAAGTCCATTCCAAAAGTGGAGACCACCACTGCTGTTTCACTATATCCCCTCCCTCTGGGGAAGTGTCCCTTACCAGAGAGAACTATGTAGAAATATAGCTACTGAGACTTAATCTGGACCTCAAGGTTAAATGTTTTATTTGTGCCATTTATAAGTCAAAGTATTTACGACCAGCATAAATGCATACCTTTTTGCTTAGGAAAAGAACACCAGGCCAGAGCCCTGTGCCAGACCAGGAGATCCCAGGCATTGAGTGTCCAGCCTGTAGTCCTTGGGTTCTCCAGAGCACAGGGCAACAGAGTTGACCACCAACAGACCAATCTGGTAGAAGAGACCAATGCCCAGGAGGAGAGTTTCACTTCAGATCTGAAATCAAATCCTTCCACAGAGAACTGCTAAGAAACAGACTTGGGAAACAAATTTGGAGCGGGACAGAGCTAAATAAGGATCTCCTGACATTCTCTGGGGGACCTGGACCCAGATCAAGAAGACCACTGGGCCTATATTCTATTGTGGGAGGCCAGGTTTGGTGACAGTAATAAAGGAGGTGGGCCCAAAGAAGAAAGCAGATAGTCTCGTGACACATTTGAGCTCTGAGATTACTGCCAACCTCAAACAGAAATCAATTCTCTAAATTACTACAGGTCAATATAAAGTGGCCTAAATGTTGTCACTTAAATCAGAGGCCCTTTTGTTTTGGTAAAGGGCTCTTCATGAGTGGATCCTAGGGTTTTTCAATATCTAGTTGACATCTGATGCCACTGTTGTCAGTGAATTTACTACCATAGGTAAGGTAACATACTAGTGGATGGATCACAATTTTGTCTCAGTGAAAATACCTGGATTGCTTGGGTGGTCATAAACGATACTGTGGCTTATTCCCAAAGACCAGGACATTGGGCTAAAGAATTTACATATCCCAGCACAACAAACAAACAAACAAACAACAACAAACCCAGAAACCTGAAAAGACAAAAAAATACCTCCAAAATCTCCCAACTCTCTCAAAATATAAGAGGTATTGAGGGAAGGAAATCATAAGCTGTACAGTAGACAGATCTGAAAATGTACCCATGGAGGTAAAATAGTTCTATAGTACTTGGCAAATTTAAAGAAGATACAACTAATCACACAGTGACCATAATGAAACAAATGATCAGTGAATCTAGAAAGACACTAATAAACAGCTAGTAGAGCTAAAGAAAGATATGTAAAACATGAATGCCTAGCATAGAAAAGGCCCGAGCCAGGGCCCTGCCCAGACACCAGTGGCTTGGGTGCATAGGCCCCAGCCAAAAGATTGTCTGGAAAACAGCTGCGCAGGCCCCAGACAGAGGCCCACTCAGATATCATAGGTTAAGTGCTTAGAGGCCCCAGCCAGAAACCTGCCCAGACACCAGAGGCTACCAGTGCAGACCCCAGCCAGAAGCCCACTTAGGTAACAGCAGCAAGGGGTGTGCAGGCCCAAGCCCAGGACCCATCCCGACACCAGCGACTTGGGCGCATAGGCCCAAGACAAAGGTTTGCCTGGAAAATAGCTGTGCAGGTGTGCAGGCCCCAGTGAGAGGTCCGCCAAGCTACCACCTGCAAGTACCTGCAGGCCCCAGCCAGCAGCCTGCATGACAACAGCTGGCAGGCCAGCAAGCCCCAGCCAGAATTCAGCTGGACAGTAGCCCAGTGTGGGGATCCAGAAGGCCATTAATGTGAACCCAGGAATTGGCGTGGTGGTAAGCAGCAGAGGGAAGGCCTCTCTGAAGCTTGTTGAGAATTGAAGCCTACTTGGAGAGCAAAGAGTCACCTCATTAAAGACACAGTAGACTGCACTGGTTGAAATGAGAAGACACCTAAACAAAATTCAGTACCAGACTTCCAGATCACCAAAGGCAATGCTGAGGGCCAACAAGATGGAACAGTCAGAAACTCAATCACCTGGACTCCCTGAACTGACAATGAAAGAGGATCTGAAAAAAATGAAATCAGAAATAATTTCTCAGATAACAACAGAGATTGTGTCCATAGTGAAAGACATAATTGATAACTCTAGAGCAGACACAGATAAAAAAAATAGAGGAGCTGAGAAACATGAGGGAATCCCAGCATAGGAAACAAATGGAATCCATAAAACAGATGTAAACAGATATCCAGGAGATTAAAAACTCCATTGATAGTTTATGCAGCAGAATGTTTCAATGTGAGGACAGAATATGAGATATACAAGGCAGGATTGCAATTAGTGACTAGGAAAAACAATTGCCTTAAAAATAGTAAGGGATCATGAGAAATCAATCCAACAGCTGCTAGATGATGCAAGGAAGAATAACATAACACTGATCACAGTCAATGAAGACACAGGAGAGAGTGCAAATGACATGAAAAAAATGTTCACAGAAGTAATGGCAGAAAACTTCCTAAGCAGGGAAAAGAACTTGATATACAGACATATAGAATTTGACTTATCTAAATGAGGCATATAGTACTCCAACTAGCCATGATCAAAAAAAATAAAATCTACACCTAGGTATATGATAGTCAAGATTCCAGAAATCCAACAGAAGAACAAACTACTACAAACAGAGAAAAGAAACAAATCACATACAAAAGAAAGCCCATCAGAATCACAGCAGACTTCTTAACACAAACCCTCAAGGCAAGAGCCTGGAGTGAAGTATTTCAAGACCAAAAAGAAGACAACCTCCAACCCCGATTGATGTACCCTACAACTACCTTTCAAAATCAATGGAGAAATAAGATACTTTCATGACAAAGAATACCTGAGAAGCTTCATGAATACCAAACCAGCACTCCATGAAATTTTAAACAATATCCTAGGAAAAGAGAATCAGGGTCACAACTCACAAAGCCCAGCAGAATGAATCCATCAGGCAAGACAAGAAATTAAACACAAAGGGGGACAATCAAATAACCTGAAAAGGTCATGACAAGGATAAGTCACTACATATGAGTTATAACCACTAATGTTAATGGTCTCAATTCACCAATCAAAAGAAACAGGCTGGCAGAATGGGACAAGAAGCAAGATCCAATATGCTGCACACAAGAAACACACACTTAATTAAAAAAGAAACTCATAGACTGAAAGTTAAAGGATGGAAAACAATACTCCCTGTGACAAGAACCTGAAAAAAGGCAGGAGTAGCTATCCTATTTGCAGATAAAATGGATTTCAAACCAACACTAATTAAGAGAGACAAAGAAGGCCACTACATTCCTGTAAAGGGAACAATCCA